TAGTTGCTTTGGAACCGCCTCGAATTGCGTGTGTAACCTTAATTGAATAAATTAACAGTGTATTTAGAATATTGACAGCGTTCCAGATGCAACAGTGAAGTATGTTTGTCAATCTGACATTGTTTGGGTAGCCCCGAGCGACCTTTTCCTTAAAATTTGTGTTTTGCCTCGGGATTTGTGCCACACCTCGGCCGATCCCAATCAATTAAATAAGATAAATATTTTAAGTGTTGACGATGTTCCAGACGCAACGATGAAGTCTGTTCGTCAATCGAACGTCATTTGGATAGCATCGAGCGGCCTTTTCCTTAAAATGTGTGTTTTGCCTTGGGATGCGTGCCGACCTCCTTGCATGCTTTGATTTGAATGAATTGGCTGTCATCCTTGGGTATTTAGGATGCTCTGAACGCAATGACTTAGTCCGTTTCACAATCGAACTTTGTTTAGGCAATGCCCATGCCTATTCTTTTTGATATGCGTGTTTCATCTCAAAATTCGTGCAACACATCCGGATGCTTCAAATTGAATAAACAAAATGTATTTTTTAGAGGTTGACAACGTTTCTGATGCAACGACGAAGCCTGTTCTTTGATCCGATATCGTTTAATCAACATCGCGCTTTAATTTGGATGTCGGTCGTCCTTTTTGATCGATCTCATCTGATTCGACTGCGAGGGGCCTCGACCTAGCAGAGTTCGATGTTCTGATCACGATGCTGTTGTCCGTTTGTCCTTCGGAGATCGTTTGACCCTTCAAGTGATGTATTTCGTAAAAGCACGCATCGCTAAATTTGCTGGTTTAGCCCACCTGTTTGTAGTTTTATCATATAGGGCTCAACAAATAAATGCAAAGCAAATGAGTTTTCGGGTTGACCCAGCAACCCGTCGGGTCAACCCGAACCCGACCCGTTTTTCAAACGGGTCGAATCCGGGAACCCGGACTCGACTCAAAATGGGTCGGGTTTTAGTGTCGTGTCAAATATTGATACCCCTACCATTCAGTGAATGATACAAAAAAGATCCAACCATATAAAATGAAATTTGATCACCCTCCTAGCCTCATACTTAATGGGAAAATGTATTATTTGGTCACCAAAAAATACTAATAGCAACTCTAGCAATAACATTTGTGAGTGGAGAAACTCATGTAATCAACCTCATTTGCTTACTTCACAAGCTTTCAATTTAAGGAGGAGCCTGCTGACCGTGATAGAAGAAATGATTGATTATTTGTTGCAAATCATACACAAAATGTCTAATCTAATCGAGTCCAATATTGATCAATAATCCCTCTGATGGGTGCAACTTATAAAGGGCTTTACAAATTCAACTTCACAAGCACAATGCCAACAGATGAAATCTGGAAAGTTCACATTGAAGTAGTTTTCAAAATTCCCCTAGAATCTCTAAGAATGGTTAATGCAGTATGGTTAGGGTTAATATTTTCTAATGATATATAATGATGTAATATAGATAAATTAAATAAAGGGAATAATGTTTCGCCAATCACAGATCACTAAGTAAGCTAAAAACTTATATTTTAAATAAAATAGTAAACACAAGAGCTAAAACCCCACAAATAATGTAATAATAATAAAAAATTCAAAAAACATAATGAGGAATTTGAACCACAAAAAATTAGTGAACAATTATAATTTAATCGCAATTGTGTCAAAACACTTCCTTAATTGTGTCAAAACTCTTCCATATTTCTTTGAAAACGCTCGGGAGAAGATCTTTGAAGAAGATCATATTCTTTGCCGACACTTGGAAAGTGTGAAAGGATGACGGTACTCTGCCGACACTTGGAGAGTGTGAAATGACGACGGTACTCTACCGACACTTGGAGAGTGTGAAAGGATGATGGTACTCTACCGACACTTGGAGAGTGTGAAAGCGACGGTACTCTGCCGACACTTTGAGGGTGTGAATGGACGACGGTACTCTGCCACACCGGAAATTGGTGGAAGAGAGGGTAATTGTAAAGGCTTCTCCGCTTTGCTGTGAGAGCAAAAAGAGAGACACTTTGATAATAGTGCAATACTTGAAGAGAGAGTCTTCAGGGAGTGGATGTAGGTCTAGTTGAACTGAACCATTATAAATTTCTATGTTCCTATTTTTTGTATTTTTATTTTTCTGCGTGTTTAAATTTTTGAGGTTGAAAAATTTTAAATTGATAAAACTTTTAATTGTGCAAAAATCAGAAATCGGTTTCTATATCCAAGAGATTTTTTAAAATAACCAATTCACCCCCTCTCTTGGTTAGACTTGGGACAATTGAATTAGATTTAACAACTTGTACAGACTTTTCCACCTCAAAGTCACTCCAATGATGGCCGTGTTGAATGCTTATCTCAACCGGAGGGGTCAATTCTAAATATTTCAAAATGCCTCCAAACGCCCACAAAAATCCAAAATCCAAAATCCCAATCATTCAACTCTAATATTTAAAATTGAAACAAATCTATCAAAAACTTAAAGTAAAATCCATCCACCCTCCACAACAGTTTGCCGGGGTGAACAAGTTAAAATTTACTTCAGCTCACATAGAGCTAAGACCTAGTCGAAAATATCACTAGGATCCATTCTCAGATAACCTCCTGCCAGTAAGGACGTGATACATGTCTTATGATAGGTGATTTTGCAGCCAAATGGCACCGCAGGATAAACGGTTATGACCCGGAGCCCTCTGAACCGAGTGGTTTTGCAGCCAAATGACACCACGAAATAGTGGTTATGATCAGAGGCAATACGTTCCTTAGTGACATCAAATCATTGAGATATTAATCAATATGATATAATCGAAATGGCACAAAGCCCTCTGTTAGCTAATGTAGATTTAAATTTATCTCCTTAGACAAACACTCCCCCCAGGTCTACAAGGTACCCTTGGACGAAGCAACCCATGGCTGCCGACAAGGATCCTTCTGTCAAGGACCACGATGGCCCGGGATAATGGAACCATGGGATCTTAATCGGGTCCATCATCCATTTCCCCATCATCTGCTTTAAGTGCAAGATGGTGAAAATTTTCTAATTTTAAATATTAGATCTCCAAACTCTCCAATTCTCTAACCCATGCTGCTACTATACACTTGATACTACATATCTATGGATATAACATATATGATTGACGACTAGCCTTAATCGAAAGTTCTCTCTCGTTATCGGGAGGGGTAATTAATTATAGGGGCTTGCGCCTATAGGAAACCAGAACTCGGATCATAAAGTCCTCACAAAATGAGGGCGAAATCTCATGATAGTGTCTTATCTATCAAGGCTCGGGCAGGTGAAGGCGTGGGTAGCCGAGGCAGGTGCAGGCAGCCTCGGGCAGCTGCGAGAGTAGCCGAGGCAGGTGCAGGCAGCCTCGGGCAGCTCATTCTAAACGGGTTTCCGGTTGACCCGACAACCCGTCGGGTCAACCCGAACCCGACCCGTTTTTCAAACGGGTCGGGTCCAACCCGAAATTTTCGGGTCAAGTTTTCATGTCGTGTCAAATATTGACACTCCTACCCACAACACAAGAGCTAAAACCCCACCAATAATGTAATAATCAAATATATTCAAAAAACATAATGAGGAATTTGAACCACAAAAAATTAGTGAGCAATTATAATTTAATCGCAATGATTAGATTCCTAGTATGTCAAATTGGAACAAAATCATGATCATCAACAAGTCAATAATAAAAAATGTCGAAGAAATTAGAGAAAGAAAAAAGTTAACAAAGTAAGAAATTCAAGCCACATGTTGATACAACGAGATGACTTCTCTCGAAATTATACAGTCACACTTGTACCATACTCGAAGGAATCATACCTTCAACTTGTACATAGAAGAATGAAAATTAAAACATTAATATTTATTCAAGCACAGATCATCATTTACATGCATTAAAATATCAATGTATAAACTCATCATCCCTAATAAATAAGAATTGAATCTTATAAAAAATTAGGATTTTAAACAAACGTGTAAAGGTACTCCCAATGAAAAGAACATATACTCGCAAGTTAAACCAAATTTGAACCCAAGAAACAAAAAAATGACAAAGTGCGACAATATTGTAGTAATGGAACTAATAAACTAGTGGATGTTATAGCAACTGATGTAAGAAACAACAATACTAGAAAAGATAAGCAAAATAGGACCTAGTGGGACTAGCAACAATCATGTAAGCTGCATCACGACATGTGTTTGCCGATGCACAACAGGTATATTAAACTATGTCTAACTTCTCAAGTATATTCTTCACTGATTAGCACTCAAAAATCTTTTAGAGATCCTCTATACCTCTCCTACTAACTTACTTTCCTCCTGTTAGATGGGTCAAGATTTAGTTTGACGGAAGAAGCTACTGAACTCATTCTATGGATTTAAAGTGTGGTCATCTTATCGGTGCTATTGCGATTTCATATAGAATGGATTCGGTACACTTGGCTGAGCTTCAGGAAACATGGAAGGGCATGAGGTTAGCTTTTTCATTTCTTTTTTATCATTACTCAAGTTTGGTCAGGACTCCACATTAATGATACGTATTACTTAAATGGGATGCTTTTAGACATCTAGAAGTAAGAAACTTGTTACTTTGATCTCACCAACAAGATGCATTTCACACATCTAGTATCTTTCAGCAGGGTAATAGGATAAACGATTACCTGCTTACTATGAGGGTCAAACCAGGTCAGCCTTTTTACATTAATCCAAACTTTTAACCAGTTTATATCTTTAATTAGCTACTTGCACTAAGATGACTCTGTTTTTTTTTTTTTTTCCCTCAAAATAACTTTTCCCAAAAACTAAGTGAGTGGCAATGAAGTTGTGCCTCCTATAACAATCAATATGGTTGAGAACTAGTCAAAAGATCTAGAAGTCTACACGTGGATTTGGCTGTTAGCAGAGAAGCATAACAATATCAACATACTTGGAGGAAACCATTAAGAGTAGCTGAACAATGAAATTATTAATCTGATATGAATTAAAAAATATAAACTGCAGTACCTGTATTTTCTTCATTTGTGTCAACAGTAGCAAGAGATTCAAGCATCAACTTGTTCTTCTCAGCATTCATTTCTTCAGTGAAAAAAGGAAAATTCTGAGTTGATCCACAAATAGTTGAGGGCTGGTAATGACATGGGAACAAATGTTCTTGAAGATCAATAGTAGCAATCAGCATCAATTTCCATTCAAGTTAAAAAAACAAAAAATTCTTACTGCATAAATTGATGCATCTGAATCTCAACAGCTGAGGTCCTCTTTACATTTAAACTTTGTACTCTTTCCAATCAGCAACCTACAAAAGCCTTTTTTTCTATTAAAATACAGAAGAATAGCTTAAAAATAATGGAGAAGAGGAAAGCATGTAAAGTACAAGAAGGTGAGTGTCCCTGTCACCACAAGGTTTACGTTAGTTTCCCTGTCACCACAAGGTTTACGTTTGTCACTTTTGGATTTAGTTAAAATATTTTGCAGGTATTAGTTACAAAATATCACTTCATTTATTGATAGTTTAAAAAAAATTATGTAAATGCCATCTAAATTTTTCTCTGTATATGTGGATATAATTAAAATATCAGATTTATTGAAATAAAGAACAAAATATATAATAGCAGATCACAATAGAACTAAATGCGTAATAATTGATAAATAAAAAATAAAATTTAAGCGAATAGATTTTTAATTAGGATAGATTATTCTAATCAATTTTGAAGGATGGCATCCTCGAGAAATTCCCGCTTAATTAATAGAGATGTGCTAAGAGTATGAACTAAGATGAGTAAAGAGTTGTTCCTCATAAAGACCTTCTTGATCAAACTAAAAAATCTTTGGGTTTGAGGGTTTTCATTGGGGGGGGGAGGAATACCCTATTGATAGGCTTGCTTCATTTATTAATAGTCACAAAAGGGCTCTTAATAAAATTTAAACTTAAATTAATAAAAAAACACAATCAAGTCACTTTTCAGTTTGACTTAACTAAATTAAATATGATTTATGTCATTCAAATTTGTGAGGCAATTTTGTTAAAAGCAAACTTTAACAACGAAGTAAAATAATGCGTTGGCCATGTACATAACTCGTATTTGAAGCCAAGCTTGCAGCAAAATGCACATTGCATTGCATCGTCACGTCACATTGAAGCATAATGCGCTCGAGTCCTACTCAAAAGCAAAATCTTGGTTCAATTTTTGTAATTAGGTTTAGCATATGCCTTAATAATTAGGCAAAAACGTGCTTCTCTTTGACATTTTTCATAATCATTAAGTCGTTGTTCATTATTTTCCATTCTCTTCCATTGGAATTAGTTGCTTCTCAGTGACTCTTGTCTTTATAGTCACTCACCTACTATTTCTTATACACTTCTCGCTAGTTCTTATTAATGATGCTACTAGCTTCTCTCTTACAAGCTTCTTCTTGCAATGCTTCTTGATATCTCATCTTCACTTTCTCAAGTATGTTATCTCAACCCCTTGGTCTCTAAATAGTTACGCAATCTCATAAGTATATTGTTGATTTTAAGTTTTTATATCTTTTATTCTTTTTTTTTTTAATTCGAATAACTGGAAACTATTACTATGGAATGTATCATTATATTTGCTAAAAAGTATTATCAGATGTAGTTTCAATTTATCTAATTAACTACTGTCTCAAATGAACAATCAAGTTAGTAAAAAAGTTGTTTTATTTTACACTTTACACATTAAAGAGAAAATGAACCTTAAATCACATTGCACTTAGCAATTTGAAAATATTGATGTGAATGCATATTACAAATCAAGAATATTTCAATGGGTTTAATGGAGCATTTAGCAGTTGAAGGTAATTCTGCTTATAGTTTACATTTTATTGGCTTTCTCTAACATGATTGAATGTTATTATCAAGCAAAAAAGATCATTGATTCTAATGAAACTGAATGAACTACCAATTATGTCTTCTTCTTGAGTGCAACCGCCCTATCCTGAAAATCTGATAACTAGCCTTTGATTGCAAAGCCTTCTATGGAGGGTCCACTAATAACACGTTAGACAAAACTAGCAACATGTAGCACGGTTTAAAGGTTTTTAAATGCACATTCCTTCTATGAGACTAAAAAGATGTCAGATGAGTGGAAAAGAGTGTATTGATTCTTATTTTCTAAGAATAAAGGTGATGCACATAAGTGTATGAATTATAGAAGAGTTAAGTTAATGTGTCATACTTTAAAACTATGGGAGAAAGTTATGAAGCATAAGTTACAATGTGATACTAATGTTTCTCAAAATTAATTTGGATTCTTGCCGAGTAGGTACACTATAAGCTATACATTTATTGAGAGGTTTGATGAAAGAATATAGAGAGAATAAGGAGGATCTACATATGATATTTATTGATTTAGAGAAAACTTATGATAAAGTCCCAAGAAAAGTATTCTGGATAGTTCTAGAAAAGAAGGGGATTAATAATGCTAAAATTCAAATCATTAAGGATATGCATCCAGGAGCTATTACTTGTGTTCAAGCACAAGGTGGTTTGACCAAGTATTTTCCTATTTCAGTTGGATTACATCAAGAATTAGATTTAAGCTCATATCTTTTTGTTTTATTCATGGATGTTCTTACAAAGAATTTGCAAGAGGATGTACCTTGGTGTACGCTTTTTGTTTATGATATTCTTCTTGTTGATAAGACTAGAGAGGGAGATGAAGGTAAACTTGAAGTATGGACGTCAACCTTAGAGTCTAAAGGTTTTCGTTTGAGTAGATCTAAAATTGAATACATGAAAAGTAATTTTAGGAGTAATAGATCTAGTGGGGGGATTGTGACTTTGGGCGATCAAGTCATTAATAAGAATACATATTTAGATATCTCGGGTCTCTTGTTCAAAGTAATGGTGAAATAGATGAAAATATTATTGGTAGAATTTAAGTTGGATGGTTGAAGTGTAGCAATGCATCAAACATGTTGCGTGATAGAAAAGTAACTCTCAAACTCAAGGGATATTTTTATAAGATGGTCGTGAGACCTGCAATGCTTTATAGGGCAGAATATTGACCATTAAAAGAGAAGCATAAATTAAGCTAAGTGTTGTAGACATAAGGATGATCAGATGGATGATTGGATTCACTCTTATAGGCAGAATGCGAAACGAGTTTATATGCGAAAAGGTTGGAGTAGCTCCACTGGCAGATAAGATTAGAGAGAGTCGCCTTAGATGGTTTGGTCGCATTAAACGTTGTCCTTCTGATGACCCAGTTAGAAGAGTAGATGTATTAGATTTGGGCTATGTTAAGAAAGGTAAAGGTAGACCTAAAAAGACTTATAATGAGAGTGTTCTTTTGGCGATACTTTAAGGATGAGCTATTGCACTTCATGGATCCTAAGCATATTTACAAGGTGAAACTTAACTTTATATAAATTGTTACAACATGTGTTATGGACAAGGGAGAATGATATGCAAAGAAGGGAGTTTATTAGGGCAATAACAATCTATACTTGAAGCTGAGTAGCTCAAAACAAATTAAATCCCTTTTAGTGATCATATTGCTCATAATCTAAACAGGTTTTGCCATTAACTTCATCAATCTACTATGATATTTCCCTTACCATCATTCTTACACATGCCGCCACCCATTGAAACTAACTAGCATGAAAATGCTAAATTATTCTTTTTTATAAGAAAACATAAATGCTAAAAGAATTTGAAAATCAAATTAAATTATCTTTGTATAAGGGACAAAAAAACTATTGGGTCATTTTAAAATAAATCTAAATGTATTTGGTTAAATTATTATATTCAAAAGCTATTTGATTCATAGTATCACAAATATGACTATATATATTTTTGAGGAAATTTTTCAAACACAAAAAACAACTACTTCACCAGAATAACTTTGGTGGCAAGTACCATAATTATGGAAATGGCTGGACGAATAAAATCTACCATAACTAGGATACCACCTTACAATAAATGAACAACATTGATAATGAGTCCAATATTTGAATTTTTGGCATAGAAATGAAGAACCAATAATAAAAATTTGTTTGTGGAAACACCGTTTTTTCATAAATATTTTTATTTAAATTAGAAATTCATTCATCTTTGTAGTAATAATGACAACTTTACTTTGTAAAATAAAGCTTGGCATAATATCATCAAATAAAATCTAAAAATGATTATAATATTGACTGGAAAGAATAGAGGATATTATTTTTAAGTTATAAGTAAATCATACTCAAACTCTAAGTCAAATAATAATTGGATCTCAAGGCATCAACTTGTATGCACTAAAACCCTTAAGTTTAAATCAACATTCCTTTAGATCATTAACATCAATTAGCTTGTAATAGAAATGTGTGAATATGCTAATCAATGGTACTAATAAACGAGAAATGGAATTTTTAGGATAAGGCAACTGCATGTTTAGGTTTGTAATACATGTTTTTTTTCATTTATTAATACATGTTAAATTAAACTTCTATCTTAACAAGAACTATCCAGTAGCAAAAATTAATAAAACTAAAAAGGTAATCAATCACCTATAACAACATAACCAAACTGAACTCAATGTACAATTAGGTATAATATCAATTAAGCTAAGATTGCAAAGCTAAAATCTTTATCAACAAGGAATCTTGATTTCAAATTAAGGCAATTACAAAGAGCTCTCAAATCTCAATTCAAAACAAGAAAAAAAAAAAAGAATTTACTAGCCTTATTCATAGGATTTACGCAGGATTTGAGCAAGATTTTCATAGGATTTACGCAGGATTTGAGCAGGATTTAGCAAAAATCCTGCCAAACAGGATTTTGACTCGGCATAAATCTCACGGCGGAATAAATCCGATGTAACCACCTTTTTGCAGTAAATCTCACGCAGGATTTACTAAATTCGGGAGTTCGGCGGATTTATAGGATTTGACCGAAGAAGCGAGCGAATAGGAGAAAATGGCTACATTCGCAACGAGATTTAACACTTATGGGCTGTTTGGTAGCACCCAGGATTTGATTTAAGTAGGATTTCATAAATCTTCTAAATTCGGATTTCTGGAATCATGAGGGGCCTAAATCCTGAAAATTGTTTGGTAACTTTCATGATAAATCCTATTAAATCCTATGTGAATGTTTGACTACATAGCGGATTTAACGAGCGGACTCTTCCACTAGAGCCAATGGATTTCATAAATCCGGCAAAAAATTGGATTTCAGAAATCCGGGATTTAACACAAAGAGGCGGAATTTTCCGTCTAAGGCGGCTTTCCTTTGCCGTGAGATTTGGTTTTGCATTTTAGGCTGTTTCGCTAAATTTCGCTCAAATCTGGCCTAAATCCTGCTACCAAATAGCCCCTTAAGATTTAACAATATTTATCACTTAACTTGTCAAATAATTTTTAAGATTTAAGAGTTCCAGGATTTATTAAATTTGGATTTACATGATTTACTAAATTATAAATAGTTAAATCCTGCCGGTTCCTAAACAGGCCCTAAATACATAACAAAATTAAGCTCTAAGAATACCCATCATATAATCATTTATTAATAGTTATCACTTCCATCATAATCAAACATAATTAATGAAAACTACTTTGAAATTTTAGTGCATACCTTAGCCCTAAGCATAATCGGAAGATGGCAACGACGATGTCAATGAAGAAAGCAAGGAGGCTTCCTCACGCTAAGGTCTGAAATTATCCTTCCTAGCTACTTGGCCGCTCGCTTGATTCCAAACAACTCGCAAACTAATGCCAACGAAATAAACCCAAAGGAATTCAGCACATACCTAGCAAAACCCTAATTCTTCCACAATTCAATTTGGCATTCACTTCTTCCAAAATCAGAGCATGCGAACCTCCACTTTTCCCTGCTCTTACGCAAAGGGCTTCTTCGGCCTTGGCTTACTAATTATTTCTTCAGTTCTTTTCTTCTTTACCTCTGTTAATGTTATATTTCTTTCTCTGCATATTCAGCTTTCACTGCCCTCGCCTTCCGCCTCTGATTTACATCCGTCTTCAACCTCCCTCGTTTGAGAAAACCGCGGAAGAAGAATAGAAAAATGGAGGAACTAGGCGTCGGCGATAACGATATGCAGACGAAAACGGACGCAATAATCAATGAACTAGCTTATAAATATAACAGGGTGTTAAAAATCGATCAAAATGAAAATTTAAATCAATCAATTATTTAATTTCATTTAAATTTAAATTTCATAAAATAGAAATGAATATTATATATATTTATAAATTTTATATAAATTATAATTTTTTTCTATTATGTAATAGCCATGTAATTAATTCGGATGGAATTATGCCTTCTTTTTTGTGTAGGATGAAATTTGTATATGCTTTAATAATTCCAAGTTACATCATTTTATCAAAAAATATTTTAAATTAATTTGATTTCAACTGTATTTTTATTTAAATTTTATATTTGTCCATAATCAAATCAAATTAAATATTACATATTAGAGCTTTGCTATTATTATTTTCGTGATGTTCATTCCTTTTTGTTTGATGGACAGATCTTGATAGCACTGTGATATTGGGGAGCAGTGCTGAGGTCTGAGGTTATAAGAAGATTATAGAAAAAGAGAAATCTTTGAGAGCGTAGCTGATACAACCCAATCAAATATGACTTACAAACATAACATATCATATATTGTTGAATTGTGACAGATCGAGCTCAAGATCAAAATTCTGGGAACTTTTCAATTTTTTTAATTAAGCTAGACCACAAAGCTTTTAATTAACTTCCAGTAAGCAAAATAAAATACTCATTCATAATCTCTATTCTTTTCAGTGATCATAAAAAATGTATAAACAACAATTATACAATATAGCATATGACTATAGACAAAAACATGGCAATTAAACAACTAGTCATGACTATAACAAAATTCAAAAAATACCTTTACAAACTCAGATAGATCAGATCATGAATCATCAGTAACTCAACTAGCTATTTATCTTTCCCCTAAATTGAAATGGAGTGCAGAGAAAGTGTGAGCCAACATAGCTCAATGGGTCACACCCATCGATCTAAATTTTCAATAATCAACTTACTATGCATTTTAAATGAATTTAAGAGCATCTGATAACAAAGAATTTTACTGGGCATAATATAGCTTACAAATAGCTGAAATAAAACATATTGTGCATTAAAAATAAATAAACAAGCATTTCATATATCAGCGTAGAAAGTAACATATTTTCCTTAGGACCTTATACATCCCATCAGAATTAGGCCCCTATGACTTCCTCGTGCTTGCATATCAAAAAATAAGCTCTAATGACTCTCAAATGCTTATTATGTATTAGATATTCAAAAATGAAGACCCTTATGACTCCCAACGCATTTAGTAAATAAGAACTCCCTCCAACATCATATCTCCTTATAATCACATATTTCAAGCAAATAAATGCATATATTATTACAATTCATTAAACAACATGTAAATAAATCAACTTGTAGAAATTTACAACATTCTATACTTGTAGCCTACTATTTTAACAAATGAGCATAAATTCAGTATTTTAGAAATTCACCATATTACCAAAGATTGTTCATAATAGTGTCATTTTAAAGTTTTAACTGTACTATAGCCTTATTTTTGGATATCACATTTTTTTTTAATTTAGTAAGAATAACAAATTTTTCAATTTGCACTTTAAATTTTTTTCAAAAAATACCAAAAAAATCCAAAATTGATATATCTACAACTTGCAGAAAGTTACTCTAATAATTTCAATTTGTGAAAATACTTTTAAAATAAAATTCTAAAAAAATATGGGTTGGAGCGCTGCGGTGCTGTGCTTGCGAGCCGTTAAGTTAGTTTTCTCATGGAAGTAATAAAAAAACTAGGAAGCACCGGGAAAGTGTCGTCGCAACATTGAGCTATTTGTTCTACAGTAACTCTATGAGCGGCATGCAACACTGCAGCACCAAATTGGCAGCGTTATGGTGCTAGACATTGAAAAATATTTTTCATTATATAAATCTCACACCTCACCACCACCATCACCCATCGCCATTCCTTGCTAAGGAAGGAAGAAGAGAGGAAGAGGAGAAAGGAAAGAGAGAGGAAGTTGTTCGGGTCATTTTCGTCAATCAATTCTATTTTGAGATTTCTTCTAATCATGATAGCTAACCCGGATTCTACCTATATTTTTAGTGGTTTTGTATTTAATAAATTTAATCTCCCCAAATAATTAAAAATATTTTATCGTCTGATTTACCATACATTCACCATGTAATTTTTTGTATATAATAGATATGATTCTTATAAGCATTTTGACTATAATATTATTAAATTTTGTTAGGTAAATTAATAGTTATGATTTTTTGAAGTAAATGAATAAAATATAGATTTTCTTACATTTCATAGATTAGTGTATTTCATACATAATCTTAACTTACATTGTATGACTAGTATAAGATAAATGTGACATTTGCATGTAAGTAAGAAAAGTTGGCTATAAACACTATAATTAATATGAATTGAGTTTTAAAATATAATACCCTCTACATGAGGATGGATCGACGAGCTTTCATTTAAAGATGATTGGTGGTGTGATTTCGGTTAACAAATTACAAATTATGGCAACTCTTTATAGATTATTAAAAATTATCTGTAACAATGATGTAATGATTATAATATAATGATATAATGAGTAATTGACAAAATTCATAACTGATGGATAAAATAATGAAAATACCACATCAAAACTAGATATCCTACCTTGTTGAATAATTTCATATGATATTGACATCTACATTGATTTGCCTACATGAAACATTGTATAAAAATATACTTATAGAAAATGATGGAGATTGAACATACTAATGCAGCATTTATATGTGACTAGCACTGTTAATGGTGATAAAAGAATTCATGATTCATACATATTATTTTATAGATTAACTTACAGTAAAAACAACTGATAGCATGATTTCCTACTTCCATGGTGATTTAATGATTTTACTCTTTCTAGTATATGTTAATGATTTATGGATTTCAATGCAATGACTCATATTTTCTGTTTTATCGATTATATTGATCCGTGTCACTAGTGACTGGTTTGTTATATTAAAAACTACTAATTTGATTGACTTAGATGATTATGTATATTGATTCCCAAGATCTTACATTAAAAGCATTAGTAATTTTGAGTTTTACTGGGCTTTGTAAGCTTATTATATAGATTTTATTGATTTCAGGTTAGGAAAGGGGTCAGGACCCTATGGAGTGAGGTTGTTAGGATCTTCAAGTTTTCATTTTAATTTTCGTATTTGGCTTTAATCTTTTGTGGTCAGGAGGAGATTTTTGAGAAAGATCAATATTATAAGTGATCGTTCATGGCTATTATAAATCAGATTTTGATGAATGAATATAATAAAATATTTTGATCTATATGATTTATAAATTTGTTTTCATTGGTATGATATATATTAATGATTTTATAGAACTAGAATAGAACCTCTAGTAGATAAAATAAAATATTAAAGATATAATTCTTCATATTTAGATTATGGGGCGTCACAATTACACCATAAAAGTTTTGTAGGTATATAATTATACTCATTTTTACTCTATAAAATCATAAATCTAATGAAAACCCCTTTTTTTTTGTATTTTCTAAAACTGAGTAGACACAATGTAACCTACCTCAAATCAAATAAATTTTTAAACTTGGTCGATAACAAAAAATGGACCGACGTCACCCAACCTAACTTTCTCTCTCTCTCTACATTGCCGAAGGGGGATTTTAATTTGTTGTTAAAATAAATTGATAATGAAATTTGATATTTTTATAAAAATTTGATCTAGCATTGTGGCGCTCTCCCCTATAGAGCACCACTATACTCTCCACTGGATACCACAGCACCGTAGCGGCTGACCACAGTGCCGCATCATTGGTTAAATTTTTAAAAATTATTGGAGAGCTCAATGTCGTAGATCTTCCAAACCAACACCACGACACTCCCAGGGGAAAAATTCCAGATTTTCATGCATGCACATAAACCTCTAAGACCCACATCAGAATACTTTCAAACACCCAGATGCATACAGAAAACTCACTAACACATGCAAAAGGTATTAATGCAGAAGTTCTTAATACAGAAGTTTCAATTCATTTCTCTTACTTAATCAAGTCAAAATAGGTGCAACTGTGTCTCATCATAGTAGGTATTATAGTAGCGCTGCTAGGTTGAATAGTGTTGCAACACTAAGCACATTTTAGATTTTTAATATAAATATCTAAATCCCTAAGTCTCATACTTTATTTCATTTGGCTAAGACAAATAAAATGAGAAGAGATGAAATGGGAGAAGAGGGGAGAAAGAAGAAAGAGAAAGCCAAGTTCATGGAGCTAATATTATTATTATGATTTACATAATATTGCTTTTGTATAATAAGTATGATACATATGTATATCAATCATGAATTATGCGCATTCAAGAAAGTTGGCTACTAAATAAGACTGATTTAGGTTAGCAAAGAAATGATATGATACTCTGCATGGAAGGGTGGGGCGATGAACTTTTCTTTAAATGAACATAATATATGATGTGATGGGAATATAAGGGGATATTATATGATTGATTGGAGTGATAATTCTGATATGATGCCACATGAGTGTGATTGAGATTGATATGATATGATTGATATTGTACTATATGTGATATTATATAGTCACATGATTGATACAATATAATTAGCCAGAATCCTGACATGCTAATGATATATATAATGCATAAATATGATGTTATTTCTAATATGATATTAATTGATATGATGATATAAATAACACAGCCTATAATGATACATGATTTCTAAATTTATTCTGTCAAGTCCCAGAATATAATTTGGGAAAATTATTTTTTCTTTTATCTTTTATTATGCAATAACGAGAGCTATTAATTTTATAAATAATATAATTCAAAACATCAATACACATCTATATTCATTAACCAAAAAATAAATCATATACAACTTAGGAATTATATAATCAATAATCACAACATATCATTATATTGCTGAGTACAAAGGAATTATTAAATAAAAAACATAGAACATGAGGAATCCTAATCAGTCTCATATTCCTGAATCTCTTCCATCTTGTTTGAAATCATTTAAATCATATATAATAAGCTATATAACCCAGCAAATCCTTAAAATTCTATCATAGAATTCAAGGTACAATAAAGAAGAATTATGCATGAAATCAGTCAATTCATAATAGTCATAGTCATACGATCAATAATTAGTGCAAAAATAGTAAAACTCATATGTAGTTGTAGCAGAATCTATAAATAATAAAATAGTATAATACGGAAGTTAGTAAAATAGTATAGTGGAAAAACTAGTAAATTAGTATGGTTGTCGAATCGATAAATAGTTGTTGTATCAGTACTATCAATCAGTAAAGAACATATAAAGTGATAAACTTAAAGTATCAGTAAAAATTGTTAGAATTATATCAATCTTTATAACTCTCAATCATTGTATCAGTAGAGTATTATACCCAACCATAGTATTTAAAAAAAAAGCCTGTCGGCCCACCATCATGTCAATATCAATCAATGTCTAAACAACGGGTCACTAGTCTTTACTTGTCTTTTACACACGTATTATTATCATAATATTTTAACAATAATAGCAACCAGTTATTATTCAATCATATATCCATATTCATTTTCAATGCATTATGATAAATAAATCATAATTGAGCTTAATTCAGAAAGTATCAAAATGTCCTAATGGTAGGCAATACAAAATCCTATAGCGTATAAATTCACAATTTTAGAAATTAACAAAACTACCATATATTATATACAACAACATTTTAAATCATTAATTAAACTAAACACTATTTTTAGATGTTAATTTTATTTTTAAATTGCTAAAAATTATTGCTTTGTCAAAATCACGCATAAAAAATCTAAAATAAATACTCAAAATATTAATAATATCAATTTTTTTAACATATAAAAAAGTTTAACTCAAAAAAAGTTTCTCTGTTTGGTCAAATGAAAGGGAGAAAGGGAATTTAAATGGAGTAAGATCATGGATTTATATTTTATAATAAAATAATAATATAGTTATATAAATTAATCAATTTTCAATATAAAATTTATATACATTCTTTTGGGGCTTCAAAAATTATAAAAAAATCTCTATAAAATAGCCCATTTTATTTAAAATTTATTGGTGAAATCAGTTTGCAAAATGAACATCTAACGGTTCCAAAATCCTTTATACCAATATGTGTCAATTTCTTAAAGATTTGCACGAGTGCCTAAAATTTATGAAAAAAATCATGTCATTAAAGTTATGATGAAGATGATTTGTGATTTGGATTTATAATGACTGTTGAAAAAATTTATTTGACTGGATTAAAATACGTGTTATTGCATATTCTATCATGTATATAATTGATGCATATACATGATGGTTTCATATAATAATAGTGTTAATATGCATGATAATGATATTATGCCTATAAGAACACATGGCCATTCTAATAGCTTTATTATGCATTGTATAGTCATATACATGATGCTATCACATGACTATTGGTATGTCATATACATTGATGATTCTAATATGATATGATATATAACATTGATATACATTATGATGATGACCCTGATGCAATATGAAGCATAGTACTGATACACATGAACATGATATATTGATATATTTGACTGTTATAATATGATACATAACATTGATATATATATATGATCCATATGATAATTCATTGGCATACATGATGATACAAGTGTGATACATGCACTAATACACTGATTAACATGATGATACAAGTGTGATACATGCACTAATACACTGATGATACGCATAAGATATATACATTAACACACCAGCATATATGATCATAAGAGGATCATTAGAACCTACATGAACATATGATTCCAGTGTTATATTATCGATCATACTTATATATATATATAATATAAGTATAAGGAAAATCATAGAATGATATTGATTTAGTATAGGATTAACTTTTATGATTCAATTGATAACAACATGTATATTGACTACCTTCATTACATCGAATAAAATTGTAGGTTTTATATGATTTATTGAGCTATACGCTTATTCTATTTGTTTATATGTTTCATGAAAGGGTAAAGCACCAGCAATTGAAACCAAAGGTGAATCATAATTATCGTATAATCATGATGAAAATGTATTTATGTGATACATAGATATATGTAGAATAATCATGATCCATTATTGCTATAGAGGTACTCATTTTATTTGATAGATTTTTTGTAACTATGATGAAAATATATTTTGATGAATTAATAATGGATCATAATTATTGTGCATGTGATTTGATATGACTAAAACTGTTTATACATATTGGATGATGCATTATTTATGCATCGATGAATTTTAGTGGCTTTGTATGTGAATTAAATTATGGGTAAATAATTGATCATGCACTCAACCTAATATGACCCATTAGAGTGTATGGGTTGTATTGAGTTTGGTCATAACATGACTGTAGTTGGCCGAGAGTGGTCTAGGGATTGTAGTTGGGCTATGTAATCAGAAGACTATAGTATAATCGGGCGATGGTGATACGAGTAATGTAGTCAAGTGATAATGGTTAGAAGATTGTAGTTGGTTGACGGTGGTTTGAGGATCATAATTGGAAGATTACGGAGGTCGAATGATCGTAGTAGAGCAATGGTGATTCGAGGATCGTATTTGAGCAATTGTGGTTCAAGGATCATAGTCAGACAATGAGGATCCGAGGACCATAGTTGGTAGGCAATGAGGATCCAAGGACCATAGTTGGTGGATGATGGAGGTGAGACGACTGTAGTAATCTATCGGTGAAGGATTGCCATTGATGATTGGGAAAATGGCTCGATGATGGTGCTCTAGTAGTGCTCTAGGATCTTTAGAGTGACAGAGCTCTTTTGAATTTAAACCCAAGTTCAGGCTCCAACTCCAAAAGGCCTCTCTCCTATGTAGAGAGCAGGAGTCTATTTATAAATTGTTCATAGCGACATGCTCATTAATATAGTCAAACTTCGGAATACTCCTTCGAACTATCCACAGTGATTTCCTTCATCATGAATTGTTCATTCAACATTTAAGTGTTTTAATGATGCCAGAAGTAAGTGATTGTGTGCTTATTGGATTCATCTCATCAAGATGCTCGATTCGACTATAAGCATACCAAATTTAAAGATCATTTCATCATCTAATTAATGTAATCAAATTTCCAGTATTCTTCATGCCCTTGATTTACGTTTATTCAAACTCGGATTGTACTCTTTTTATTGTAGTTGGATTTCGTCTTCTCATCAGAGCGTTCGGTTTAACAATAAATTTGCTAAAATCCGAGTTCTTATAATCCTGAATATGAATTTGGAAATTTTCTATTGAAATTACCTCAATTTTTGTGATTTATCACTATAAAACATAAGATTAAAAAGGACTAATAGCTGCATTGGCTAAATTAGCGCTAAATCCGGAAAAGGAAGAGCT